ACCATTCCTTTGAAGTATAAATAAAAAGTAGATAAGAAAACTTAATGGGTTCCTCTAACAAGCTAGTTTATGTGTTTGTTTTGGGTTATCTAGGGAAATCTTTTAATTATTGGCTAAGCGAAAAAGGGCTAATCAGGCGGAAAAGCATAGCATTTTGAATATTTTCTCTTGGGTGCGTCGGTTTAGCTTGTTGCTAGGACAAAAGCCATTCAAAGAGCCGGGTCCCCACGTGGCTCTCCTCTCTAGTATTATTTGGCACTCTCTCTCCCCGCCTCTCTTTTGGGCACACGCCCAAAACAACAACGGTGGTGCGAATAAATAAGTGAGGATAAACAGAAAGAAATAACGTGGGGAAAACAAAAACAAATCGAATGGGTTCGCGAGAAGTTCAAGAACAAAATAAAACCCAACACGAATTTCCCTCTGCTTTTATTTGGTTTTTGCGGCTTAAGCGAACTTAATTAAATATGCAAATAATTTGCGTGCCTTCGTGGTTGTTTTCTTTTTTTTTTATGCTCTGATTATATTGCATAATGCACGATATTCGGAGATTAATGCGATTTGGAAGTCGCAGAAACGAAAAACTGGGACTCGGTCACATCCGAAACTCATTTATTTCTTTATTTATCGAGAGAAACTTGATTTCATTTTCGATCAAGGTTGTGAGAAAGCAAAAGAAAAGCAAATGTAGAAGAAAATTAATGTGGAAAATTAATGATTGAAAGCGAATTGATCAATCAATGTGGGATGGGTATTGAAAATTGATAAAAACACCCGTATCCGCATAGGGGTAAATTATAATTAACGTTTGTATTTCATGGGGAATAATCATTTATCTCCACGACACCAAAAAGAGGGCGTATTGTCTTTTTTATGTGAAAAATTCCCAGTTTAATTATTTTCAGGAAATGTGCATTTTATGAAGTTTCCTATTAAAAAACAGATTTGGTCATAAAAAGGAATTACCTCTATATACTAAAAATATTAAAGAAGTTAAATATAAGTTTATTCTATACTAATTCACTTAGGATTTATTGATTTTTACCAATTGTAATTGAATGGATATTTATAAATTCCAAAGTTATTTCAAACCACTTTCGCCCACCCCCAAAAACCAATCGAGTCCCACGAAAAATTGTCTAAATTAAGCATTTGTTATGCCCATTAAACCACCAAAGAGATATAATCGCAATCATCAACATTTTGAAACAAAATAAATGGCTGTGATTTTACCTCAAATTTTCTCCACATGATTTTCGGTTATTTTGAAATGCTGCCTCTCCTTTGAGCCAACAAACCTCTGCACAGATTGCATCTTTGGAATGTGTTAATCTGCTCTCTCATAATCCATCTCCAACCCACCACCCACCTGCCTGTTGACGTCATCATCACCGGCTGATGTCTAGGTCTTCGCACTCTGTCGGGCTCTCAAAATGCCTAATATATACATATATATTCAGATATTGCCTGTGTGGGCAAGGCAAGTGTTTGTGGCGCCGTTGGCAACAAAGTGGGAGAAATGGCTTTTTCATGCTCTACGCCAATTTCCAAACAAATTCTAAACATTTGGGCAATAGAATTTTTCAATGAACAATTTGATATGCTGATATAGATGATATGTATGTATATATAATTATATGCCTGCGCCCAGAGTCTCATAAATTAAACCATCAGTTGTCACAGGCCAAAAGAGATTATTTGGTGGAAAAAAAAAACAAGAGAAAAGAGAAGGTTGATCTGCACACGAAATTAAATAAATAATATAAACACAGCCCCAAAAATAGCTGCCAAGCAAACGAGTGCGAGCGAGAAGGCTACACAGAAAAAAATAAAAATACAAAATGTTAGTTTAATATGTGTTTGTAGGTCAATGTTACTTATTTAAAGATCGATTTTTTAAGTATTAACACAATAGATTGGGCAGAGAGAGGTTTAAGTCCTTTATTATAATACTTATTAACATAATTAAGTAATAATAAATCCATTTAATAAATAAATAAAGACTCCAGATTAAGTAAAGAAATAAATCAATGCTAGCCTTTTTTTAGGGGAGTTGATACTATTTATATGGAAGTTATAAGCGCTGTAAATATTTAATAAATATTATACATATTTTTAAACGTTGACTTTTGTTCAAAACAATTATTTCTCTCTGTGCAAAAATAGTCGCATTGAAAATGACGATTCTTTTCAGTCCGCTTACATTTATTATTCCCGTTTGAATTTAATTCAATTGCAGACGAAAACGTGTTGTTGTAGGATCAACCGTGCCTGTCTCCGAGTAACAACAAAAGCGAGAAAAGATAATAATAATACTAATAATAAACAGGAAGAAGAGGCTATCAAATGAAAAACTTGCTAAAGATCTCACAGAAGAAATGTGCAGCTAAGTGAGTTAGTTGATCAAGACTTGCCTTCGCTAGCGATATATTTATACGTTTTGTGTGGTTAGTTGCCAAGCCACAAAACGCATTTCTTCACTGCGATGAATTGAATTGAAGTTGTGATTAACTTTAATTGTGTTATGCAGATGTCAGCGGGGGACGGGAAGCGGCGAATAGTTATAGTAATCAAAGTGCAGTCGCCCCGCCAGAGCAGCGAAAGCCAGGCCATCCGTGTCGCCGCCATCCAGGAGCGCAGTTAGGGGGCCTGGGGTTTTTGCAAATCCCCCAACTTTTGATAGGATCTCTAACAACTTAATTGCCATCTGAGCGCCAACTATTGTTTATCGTCAAACCGCAGTGCGCGAATATAAAAGGCACCTTAGTAATAAATTTAATTATTCAATACTGTAGAAGGTGTTTTATATTTTATACTATTTTTTATTAAATTTTAGTTTTTTGTATGATTGAAAATATTATGATTTTTACGAAATTTTAAAAGTTCATTTTACATTATTTGGGTATAACCTTCAGGAAAATCAATTTTTGGGAACCCAAAAACTCGAACGTTTTTTCAATAAAACTCTTGAGAATTGTTAACAAAAATACAACCTTAAAACAAAAAGAACACACACACGTTCGTGGACCGCAAGTACGTGAGCGTGTGGGTGTGGTTGTGGCTTAAATAAGCAACTTTGAACTATAAACAATATTCGGCACGCACTCACCTTTGCAACAACAATAACGACAGCAGCGGTTTTAACGGTAATGCAGCCACCCCGCTGTCTCTCCGCTCTTTTTCCACTCTCCTCTGTGCGCTCTCTCTCTCTCTCTCACTGCCGTCTCCTCGCCTCTCCCTTTTCGATTTGTAGTTTTTGGCTGCTGCAGCGCTTGATTTTTTATGCACACATAAATTTTCAAACTGCGACGCCCTTTTTTCGTTTTTCTCTCTCACCAAACTAAACAACAACTATCGCACACACTCACACTCGCACAGCTACAAACACACGCGCGCGCGTTGTTAACAACAATTTGGCTTTTCACTCTTTGTGTATTACATTTTCCTCTTGGACTTCGATTTCGCTAACCGCTTTTCCTTTCGCTCTGCGCAAAGTCGCTCACGGAAAATCTTTGCTCTACAGGGGCAATCTGCCTATTTATTATTCAACATGCAACACTTGGGTCGTGGTCCTTACATTTAAATTTAATTCGCCTTCAACTATGTTTTGCTGCTGCACTTTACTTCGCGATTCGCCCGACACAAGCAATCGCCGCTTAAGATTATTTACTTCGACCGTTCGCTGCTTCCGACAATAATGCTGACATTTGCCAGAAAAAGTACCTTTTATCCTTCGAGGCCTCTGGTCACACTTGAACAAACAAGAACGCGTTTTCACCATTTTATTGACAGGGATGGCAAATAAGAGTTATCAGAAAGTAAAATTGACATATATTAAAACAACACTTTATATGTAGTAAAAGCTAAATTAAATGAAGTCTGCTTTAATTTTCTAAAAAGTCGGAATTCCTGCTGTATTTAAATTTTACCTGCAATCACACTTAAAAATAACCTAATTTGACGGAAAAGAAGGGGGAATGACACGATTTTACATACCTTTTTCGAGAAGTCTGGCGGCGACTTTATCTTGTGGCGTTGCCAGACTTTTGAATCTATAGCAACAGGCGCTGCCAGAATGTGAGTCTCGAGCCACCAGCGCTGCCGGACTGTGCAACTCCTGTTGAAGGGAAATTACGCGGGTTTGATGGGTGTTTTTAACTATATAGGGTAAAAGGAAATGGAAAAAATAATTAATAAATAATTAGTCAAATTGGAAATAAGATAAACCTGCATTTCAAGTATTTTTTGGAACTACAGGTGGAGGAATATCAATGTTCGCTGTAAAGTCGTAAATGAAATATAAAACGTACTTTTTAATTTAAATTAAATTAATTTTATATTATATTTTGTATTAACAATTCGGTTGACTATCGACGAATTAATTCATCGGTTACAGGATATAACATAGATTGTATCGATGTATTGCTTTATAAAACAATCGATAGTTGGTAGTTTTGACTTTTAATGGCTTTGTCACCTCTAATCCTGTTGATGTGTTGTAAAAATATTGTAAAACTATCGCATCGATGATACATCAAGGGTATTCCCTTGAAGCCTGTATAGTTGTGTTTATCAGAACAAGTGATCACTGATTAGTGATCAAGTATGTTGTGGTGAATGCTTATGCTACTGTAAAAATAATCGTCTTAGAACCCATTCAATATATTTTTATAAGACATCATAAAAAATCAACTGAAATGGACAGAATTTCGTATATCTTAAAAACAGGAGAGAAAAGATTAAACGTGGCGCTTCCTTTTCTGAAAAACTTGATAATAATAATATCGGCTAAACTTTGCTTTACTTAACCGATAATTCCATCAGTTCTTATTGGAACTGCTGTTTTCTGATGCAATATTTTCAGTAAGTCGTCACGGGAATACCCTAATTCATTCATTACTCCTAGGGAATACCCTGGATAAAAATATTTATTTTTATGAAAAAATATCGATATATTGATACTTTTAAATATTTCTCGCATCTCTAGTTGCCATCGAAGTTATCTCACCTCTAACGCTGAACGGAACGAACGAACGGTTTCGTCGTCGCGCGCGTGTGTGGTGTGTCTGTGTGTACTGAAAAAAAAAACATTTTTGGGGCCGCAGCATAACGGAGGAAAAGTTCGTGTAATTATTATACAATACTCGTATTTGTTCTCGCAGCAAGTCGAATAAGCTAAATTGTGCTATCTAACCACAAAAATACGAAAAAGTTAGCTGAATTACGTGAGTAGAGGCTCTGTATGCGTGTGTGCCAGAGCGAGGCGGCAAATCAGTGCGGCGTGAAAGAGGGAGAGCAGCAAAATATAAATTGCTGTAAATGCTTCGCGGCGTGTGTCTGTTGTCTGTGTGTGTGTTTTGTGTGTTCCTGTGTTTGTAATTGAGCGTGTGTGTGCTAAAACAAATGCTTAAATTGCAACAAAGAAAATTGTATAAAGTATACGAAGCAAATAGCAGAGCGAAAGCAACGTAGGAATAAAAAGAGAAGAGGCTGCTTAAAGAAAAGAAGAAGAATAAGCAGCCGCCGCGAGTTTTTTGCGCGCGCGTGTGTGTGATTGTGTGCATACACATATTTATATATTTGTACATGTGTATATAATAAAAAAAAAGAAGCAGCAGCTGAAAGTCATAAAAATGCGATTTCGAGTGCTTAAAATTAATGTTTAATTTCATGATTTCTTCCAGCGCCTAGCAACGAAAATCATAAATAGTATATAATATGTATAAGAAAAGTCAACAACAAGGTTAAATATAGTGCTTAAACAGTGAACACTGCGGTTTCAAACGTCTTTTTTGCATGTCTTCCTCTTCTCCGTGTTTTTTAACCATCAAAACCGACAACAGCAATAATAACAACACCAACGAATGGATTGAAATACAAAAACAAGAACTTTTGAGAGCGTGAGAGAGCGCGACAGAAGAAGACAAAAAGAGAGGCGTCGGCTAACAGCTTATCATTTGACAAAGCACAAGCAAGAAGCAGAAACATCAGAAGGAGGGAAGGAAAACCAAAACGCTGATTGCGCTGAAATGTGAGTAATCTTATTAAACCGAAAAAGACAAAGACACGAATTCAAAACTAGGGAAAAAAAGTATCTGCAGCTCTTAAACTGCACAAAAGTGTGAGAAAATGTGTGTTCACTGTATTAGTATTTCTGCCTCTCTCTTTTATTTGCCAATTGTATCTGATAAGAGCGGATGTGCAATTTAAAGACCTTGGGAACCGTTTATTTACATATGCATGTATGTACGTATTTATCAATCGGGTTAGCATTCGGAAACTAGCTAAATTGGGCAACTTAATTCCGACATAAACATAAATATTAATAAATATTGGCTAAAATTGTTTTTAGCTTTTCAACCTAAAATATGAAAATATTAAAATCTATAAAAAATCAACGAAGAAAAATAAAGAAAACCAAACCAAAATTTATTGATCAAAATAATAATCTTATAAAAATTTATTATAATAAATAATAAATAAAATAGAAAAAAAAATAAAAATAAATATTTTGTTATTCAATTTTAAACTATTATGAATGCCTAACAGGAAAAAATTTGTTTGACAATGTGGCTAAATTATGTTATATATTTTCTAAAGGTTACAGGCTAAATAGTTCAACATTATTTTTTCGTTTTCCGTTTAGAATTTCCTTTCCCAGAACTCCAGGAAAATGCCTTTATCAAAGTAAAAGAAGTTTCCATTAGCCTCTGGCAATCCAATAGGAATTCCGACAGTTACAGCCAAGTTAGGGATCTGGTTTGGATGTTGTGCCATCAAAAGTTATGCATGCCGTCAGTCAAAGTCTATAACAACCAATTAAAAGAACCAAAACACAAACGAAAATGCCAACGCACTCGTAAATAGGAAACAGAAAAAGGAAAAAAAAATGCCGAAAGCCATTTCTGAGAGATTTTCTTATGGGGCCAAAGACTAAAAGCCGAAAACCAATTATGGCCAACTAGTTGGACTTGATACTAGTTGACAGCCATTGGGCCAAATACGATCTTGGGCCAAGTTTAAGAACTTAGGGCAGGATTATCAACAAAAATATCGATCTAAACTTATTTAGCCAACAAATTTATAACTTTGATATCTTTCCAATTTTAATTGCAAATCGTAAAAGCGAAATATAGAAATATGAACTTATAAATAATAATATTTCTTAAAAAAAAGGTTACGATCTATGTTACATATTTAAATAAAGGACCCAAGCTTCTCTGTCAATTAAAAGTGGTTGCAATAGTTTCCTGCTGCCTTGTTTCTGTCCTCTTGTTTTTTCCCCCCCTTTACATACACAGAAGACGACATCAAGAAAAAGACAGATACGGAATATAAAGACACTAAAAAAGGCAAGCTTTTCCAGATATATATTCTCTTTGCTTAGTTCGATTTTGCAAAATTCCGAAGGCGCAAACTAAAAACAACATAAGTCGAATAAAAAACTGCCCAAAGAGAAATCAGTAAAAACAAAGAGATGAATAAAAAAAAAAACAAAAATAACGTGGCAAACAAAAATAAGTTCCTCTTTTTGTTGTTGTTGCTGTTGCGGCGGCTGCATTGGATACATAAAAACAAACACACGAAAAAAAAAAATAAAAACAGACGTCTCTTTTGCTTCCCACTTTATCTCCTTCATGGCTGTTGTTGTTGTCTCCATTGCACTCCAATCTGCTGCTGCTTTTTCTAGCTCCATTCGGCCTCTCTCTACCATCTTCTTCTGCTTCTTCCTTCTTCTCCCGGCATATGTATTCATGTAAAACAGCAGAAGAAGAAGAAACAAGATACCGTTGCCAGTCAGCCAGTGGATTGTATTAGTTTTTTTTCTGTTTGTGCTTTTCTTGTCTCCATCACATTTTTTGCTCTCTTCTTCGCCTGTCTTCCGCTTCTCTTCCTGGTTGAGTCTTTTTCTCCTTGGCAGATTACAACGTTACATTTTGGCGCACTACTTTGTCCACCAATTTGCATCAGTTTTATTTCTGTTAGTAAATAGTAAAAACGGGAAAATTTATTTTGATATATTAAAAACTTTTTATTCAGAACTTCTTTAAACTAATAGAGCTTAGTTAAATATTAATACAAAAATGTATTTTATTTATTAAATACTTTGCTATGAGTCCAGATATGAACTTATTTAAAAAAGATATTTTTAATAAACATTTAAAATTTTTTGAGCGGTTTAAAACTTTGCATTTATCTTAAATTTTGAACATATTCTCAGTTTCTATTTGTGACCCTAACATATTCTGAATGGGAATTGTAAATAGTCTCCCCCATAGGGAATTTCTGACACCCAGAGGCATATTGTGGATTATTCCCCATGCTTTGTTCGATTCTTTTATCTTAGATATATAGGTATATCTATGTATCTGTATTATGTATCTTTGCATCCATTGCATCAGCATCCGTAATTGGCTGTTTATCTGTATCTGTGTAAGACCGAAATAGTTGCATTTTGGAGGTCTGCACTTTCATGGCGGAAAAATGAAAAGAGAAACAATGCCATAAATACAACAAATATGCCATGCACACACACAAAGGCAGATTGTAACGAAAATAGATAAATAAATTCAGAAAAGAACAAGGAAAAACTTTTACAGAATGTGAATGTGCAATGAGGATTCCGGATTTCGGGGAGCCGTGGAGGCGGTGGCGGAGCGATGGCGAGTGTGGTAAATGGCCTGCTGTAAAATGTTGTTGACTGTTTAGAATTTAAACTTAAATTTAGAACCGAAAAGTTCAAACGCAGCTGCAGCGCCAAGAGGAAAATGGGAATAGAAACTAAAGACAAAATGGGGAAAACTGGGAGTTTAATGATACACAAACATATCTATATATATATGTATGTGTGAATATTTAATATTAGAAGCTAACGAAATTGGTTTTTAATTAACTTTCGTAAGCTTTGATCTTCTTTATTATTTTCCATCTCTTTTCTTTTTTAATATATCTATGCCTCTTTCACCATGCGTGTGTATTGCCTTTTTATTTTGACAGTTGAATGAACCCAAGCATTTATTATAAAAAAAACCAGAGAGACAAAAAACTAAATAAAGGCTAAATACACACAAGCGCACACACAATTACAAACAGAAAGAGCATGCGAGATAAACGAAAAGTAAGACAATTGAGGTAAAGATAATAGTGTGAAAGTGATTAAAGAAAGTGTCTAGGCACAATGATTTTATATTTATAATATTGAACAGGAAATTTAGACAGAAACCCATAATTATAATCTTATTCAATATTTTGATTCCTCTTAATTTAAATGGAGAAATGCGTAACGATTCTTTTCATACTAAAATAACTATGAGTTTTTTAAATGCTTCTGCAATAATGTCTAAAAAAATTGTTTTTTAAAGGGTTTTGTTAATGTCAGCTTTATTAGATTTTTCAAAAATATTTAAATCAAATTTTAAATAAGTTTAGTCTCAAAAAAGCTTTTCAACAACTATTGAAAACTATAAATTTGACCTCAACTGTATACTGATAGTGAGAGGAAGCGGGCCAGATAGAGATGGGGATAGAGCGAGATGGCAAAAGAAAGACCTCACCAGTCAAGCCACAAAAAGTAATTTTGTGTTGGAGCTAGAAAAAAGAAGGAAAAAAGACAAAATATAAAAAACTGCGTGCAGGCCTTTCAATAAATGTGAGAATAGGAGGGGGGGACACACAAAAGAGGTAGGGGCGGAGGGTGTCCCAGGCCAGACAGTAAATGAAGTTTACGTAGAGTTGTTGGCCCGGCAATGTTGTTGTTGCCTTTATTGGTTTTCCTTTTGCTGCCTCGCTTTTTTGTATTTGAATTCTTTTTCTTTCGTTTTATGTTTTTTTTGTTTGTTGTTTTTGTGCAGCTTTATATTTTATTCCTATCGTTCAGACACAGATGCGCTGAATATGCAACTTTGTATGGGACATTAGAAACAGAGAATTGGTTTTTTGGTCAGCAAAACATACACATAAACAGAAAATGTTTACAAAAATAGCACGAAATGGAAAATTAAATTGAAGTTCAGTGTTTTGTTTTATAAGCCAATTTAGAGAATCTTAAATTAAACTATACTTTGAAGGTTACTAGTTAAAGATTTGAATATATAAATAAATTTGATACAAACTATATTTATAAAGTGATTTTTATCTCTTTAACTATGTATTTGAGTTGGTCTTCAGGCATTTTAGCCTTTTTTTTTTTTTAATACTTTTGCGAACACTGTTGCCAGTTTTCAGGTTCTGTGTGTGCCTAATGCATTTTCACTCTCTTTTGGAGTGGTTTTCTGAGTGGATGTGGGTGGATTTCTTTAGATTTTTCTGTAGTGATGATGTAGGCTGCTGATGGGTTTCTTGAGGGGCTCTCAAATGCTTTGGTAACAATGAAAATATAATTTCATCGATTCTACATGGCCTTAAATATATTTATATATGTATGTATGTTGGTTTGGCTTCCATTCATCGAATCAGTTCTCCAATCAATGTTACAAATTGAGGTTACCCAACCAAAATGGTTCTTCGTTCTCTTCGATTCCTTTTTCCGAATTTTTCGTCGCTTTGTGCATTTTTCGTGCTGATTCGTCGTTTAATGGGCTTCGCTTAAAATCGAATCAACCAGGGACGCACATGTATGACTCTTTGTACAGAGGTTACTCGATAAAGAGAACCCACGAAGACCAGACATTAAGATATAGATTATTTTTTTTAGAAATTATGTTTAAATTAAAAGTGAAAAAAAAACCAAATAAATAGTTTATTTCTTTACGTTATTTAATGTGTGTATACTAAAAAAAAGTTCCGGTTTTTGAACGGCAACTGTATAATATACAAAGCAATTCGCCGGCAATTTCCCCTCCCTTTCTTTTTTGCAAATTTTTTGGGCGCTGTTTTTCGACCACGCATGACGCGCGCATTTTTCGTGCTGTTCCAGTTTAAGCTTTAAGTTCTCGTCGGCACATAAATCGATAAATGTTTGCTTAATTCTTTTTCCTTTTCCTGGCTGCCGCGGCGGCCACACCTTTTACGTATATAGCAGGATGCGAACTG